AGACAAGAAGCACAGATACAAATACAAGGAAGATCATAGAATGAAAAGACTATAATTAAATGTCATAAGCATCACAGCAACATATTTGTCTATATATCACTCAGCATTTTAACACTCTCTTTCAAATATGGCACTGTAGACCAAGTTCAGCCATAAAATACTTTATCTTTGGAGAAGATAAGAGTTTTATAAGAATATCAGCCACTATATCTGATGTTGGACAGTAGATTAAATGGATTTTGCTCTCCTCAATCACCCAGCATATGAAATGAAAACAAATATCAATATGCTTGATGCAAGGCTGATATTGCTGATCTTTGATGAGCAAAATAGCTGATTGGTTGTTAGACAGTAATAGGACAATATGTGTTAGATCTGGAAATAACTGTCAAACAAGTGAGCATATCCACAGAGCTTCTTTTGATGCATGCATGAGTGCCATGTATTTGCTTTTGGTAGTGGACAAAGAGATAATTTCTTGTCTCTTTGAACTCCAGGATATGACTCCTTTATCTATTAGGAAGGCATATCCTGACATAGTATATTGATCTTCTATCATACTTTCATCTGCATCTGCATAGTCTAGAAGTGATATGTTTTGACTACTATATGATAGCCATAAGTCTGAAGTCTCTTTTAGATAGTGAAACACTTGTTTGACAGCTTCCCAATGAACTGGTCCAGAATTTGCTATATAATAAGACAGCAATAGTAAATGCAATATCAGGATGAGTACTGATAGCTGCATACATTAATGAACTAATGGCTTCAGCATATAGAATATCATGTATTTTGGCATGCTGGTCTGGTGTACTATGAGATTGAAATGAAAAGAGCTGAACTTAAATGTCTATAGAGATAGATAACAGCTTCAAGTCTTCAAAATGATACCAGTGAATGATAGCTTTGATATAGGCTTGCTATGAGAGATGAATAGAACAATGTTCTCTATTATGTTGAATCTTAAAGCTTAAAATCCAACAAAGTTTGCCAAGGTCTGTAATTTGTATGTATTTTTGAATTTGAGACTTAAACTTTGTAATGAGCTAAAGTAAGAAGATGTCATGATTTTTGCCCCTAAGTCATGATCTGCCAATGCTTACTAATCCCAACTCCAGGCTGACCTTACAGAAAATGATAAAGATATAATGACACTATGGCTATGCCTTATTTATCAATGCATAATAAGATGACAAGAAACAATGTGGTAACCATCACTATCCCACATCTTAAACACAATAAGAATTGTGGCATATAAAAAACTCACAATAGCAATAGTATAGCAGAGCAACAATGATGAACAAAAGCAAGAGCACAGTCATTGTTATCTCAGACAATAAGCAGAGAGCATAGAAAGCAGACAATAGTTGCTTGTAGGGTATAGAGTTCTTTAGACAGTATTTAAGGCAGTAGTATACACTGATGTACTCCAGTCTTGAGCTAAGGTTTAATACATCCACTATACTCTCTAACTACTTGATGCAAATACTCTTGCCATAATAATAGATTATATTTATCAGCCACAACCCTTCATCTCTCTCCATGAAATTTTTATAGCCTACCTCATCATCTTCATCATCCTTTTATACTGAAATCAGATTCAGACTCAGAATTCAGAATTGGACCCTGGCAGAAGCAGTGCTAGACATTTGTGAGTGTTTAGTAGAGGCTCAACAGGAGGCTGCTAGAGCATAATCATCAATATGAACAATGATAATGAATACAATATTTCCTTTTGCTTGATAAAAGAAGATGGCCTGATCAACATCACATTGGGTAAAGCCTAATTTTTTGACTAATATGTCAACTAAGACTTGATACCAATGTCAGCCAGCTTGTTTTAATCTGTATAAGCCTTTAAGAAGATGACAGACTTTATAAGAATATTTGAAATTCAAATAGCCAGAAGGTTGTTGCATGTAGATAACTTTGCTTTTTATGAATTTTCCATTCAAATATGCTCTCTTGATATTAATCTGATATAGCTCAAGATTATAATGGGCAGCAAGAGCTAAAACAAGTCAGATAAAAGCTAATCAGATGATAGATGCAAATAAATCATTTGAAAAGTAGTCAATGTTTGGGATTTGAGAAAATCCATAAGCAATCAGTCAAGCTTTGTGCTGAATAATATGACTGGATTGATTTTTTTTTGCCATGGAAAACCTACTTTGAATCTATAATATTTGATCTAAAAGGTAACTCAATGAGTTTCCAGATACCAGCATTATTGAGACTTTGAGTTTCTCAGCTATTTCAGCTTTCTATTGCAGCTAATTGAAATGACTTTGTGCTTCAGCCAAATCACATGGACCTAAACCCTCCATTTCACTTACTATGGCTGTCAGCACATACTCTTCTTCATTATTAATTCTTATCATCCAGTCTGTCTGACCTTCCTCTTTAAAACTCTCTGCTTCCTTGAATTCTTTGGATATGATGGTGGATGTAACTTTGGCAACATTTTCTGATGGCAGTTGTATTTCTTTTGTGAAACATGGATCTGATAGATAACTAGACATAACATCATATCCTTGAATGATATCACAAATGTATTGAGAAGGCTGTCTGGCTCATTTTTCATGAGATATAAGTTCAGGTGGAAGTGAGAAAGATGAAGGGATAACTAAAGGTTGTTGTGAGATTATTGTAGGCACAAATAGAATTACTGAGATAGTGTCAAGATGTGTACTCTTTGCAGAAGTCTTAATTTGAATGTCCAAGTCCTCTCCTTCAAGATCTTGTGCTGATAGTTCATTTTGATTATAGTATATATTCCATTCAATGATGATCATATGAGAATTTAGCCAATAAACACAGATACTTTGATTATAGTCACCTAGACCAATGTATTTTATCTTGTGAATTTGATTTTCTCTTAGCTTTGCTTTTTCTTTAGTTTGAACTTATATATCAGAGTCTCATTCATGTACATCATGAAGATTTAGTTTCTTGCTTGTTAAAGATTCATATAGTATATTATAATTCAAAGCTTTTATTGTTGTCCTATTCATCAGCCAAATAACATGGTGAGCAGCCTCTGCCTATAAAGCTCAAGATAGTTCACTAGCATGCAAAAGTGCTTGAACTTGCTCCACCAGTGTTCTGTTATAACATTCAGCCACATCATTCTGCTAAAGAGAATCATGTACTGTCAACTTTTAGTCTATATCAGCTTCTTTGAGATACAGTATAAATTCTTTGCTTTGATATTTGCTTTCATGATCTAAATGTAAAATTTTTACAGATTCATTGTATTGGGTGTAAAGCCAGACTTCAAAATTTGTATAAGCTTTGAAGACCTTAGATTTGTGGTGCAAGAAGCAAATATTGGTGTATCTTGTCTTGTCATTGATAAAAGTGACATAGTACTGACAATCTTGAAGCATGGTAACTAATGCTGGTCTCCATACATCTGAATGAATCTCACCACCTACTTCTGCAGCTCTCTGCTCCTCTCATATCTTTCTATAAGATTTATGGATAGCTTTTCCATAAATGTATGACTCATAAAAGATAGATTTTTCTTTATTCATGTTCAGCTTCACTCCAGTGACAAATCTCTTCTCAACTAGACAGCAGACTACCTTTGGAGAAATACAACCCATATGGTGATGAAAATCCATTAAAGAAATCATTTCTTCAATGGCATTAGCTGTTGCATCATGATTTTGTGAATGGACAATTTAATATAAATCATCTTTGGTCTTTGGAATAGTTTCAATTTAGTTTTCACTTAGCCTGTTAAGCATATATATGCCATCTTTGAAGGTAAAGGTGTAGTCTAAATCATCAAGTTGGCCTATTGAAATCAAAGTATAGCCAACTTCCAGAGAATACAAAACCTTAATGAGCTGAAGCTTTGATATAGCTTCTCTATTTGAGACTTTGACTCTAATATCTCCAATAATCTGTGCAGTAAAATGCCACATGTTCACTGCTGTGAACTTCCTAGGAGGAGTTTTGATGAAGTTTTCAAATACTTCACAATATAGTGAAAGATGCTTAGTGGTATTGAAGTCATATAACTCACTACAAAGTAAGTCTGTCATAGATTGGTGCACTGCTGCAGCTGATTCAGATGTGATAGATATGGCATTCCACATCTCAATATCATCTGTTTGATCAATGTCAAGATCTATATCACTGCCAACTGACTGATCAGAGTCCCAATCACAACCTCATGAACTGTCTTAGTCTTCACCCAAGTTGAAAAACCAATCCTCATCATCTTCACCATCAGAATCTTTCTTATCCTCATTAATATTTGAGGAGGATACAGTCTCTAGCACAGACATAGAAGAATGAGTTCTTGAATCATCATTTGTATTCAATGAACCAGTCAGTGAGTAGAGTGATAGATTTGAAACATCACTAGCTGATATAGAATCAGCATTGATATTCAAGTCCCAAATGGGTTCTTTATCATCTTCATTGCTCTAAGCAATACATACACACTCTACTTCTGAATCACTACTAAGGCCTATGGCAGCATTTGCAGCACTTGATGCCTTGCCACTGCTTTTCTTGCCATCAATTGAGCCTTGTTTCATAGCCTTTGGACAGTCTTTTTTCTAATGATTATAACTTCCACAATTGAAGCAACCATGATTTGGATAACATCCTTTAAACTTGTCTTTGGCCTTGCCAGGTATAGCTGCTAACACTTCATCTTTCTCTCATACTTTCTCTTCTTCTTCACTATCCTGCAGATGTTGATTGGCCTTAGAATGTTGGTGACAATCATACTCTTCTGAAATCATATTTATCAGAAGGTCAGAATCAATATCTTGCTTATAGCAGAGAATGAGAGTGAATGGTAATGTTGTTGTCATTATTAAAGTGACCATTGATGATATAACTCTCTCACTAGCCTTTACTGATCCTACTATATTTGCTGCAAACTCAGCCATCAAGAATAGAATAGATGAGAGTACTATGGAATGACAATTATCATCATCAATCTTGACTCTATATGAAGCTATTTTCTCTCTCTGCACTCATAGCTCTTTCAGAAACTGATGTATATTAGCTCTATCAGGATATTTTGAGACAAGAAAAGATTGTTGAAGGCTGGTTTGAGCATATGCTCCTTTTTTCATGTAATACTTCACTACTTTGGCCCACTGTTTATTGATAATAGTCATATGATAAACCAAATATAAAGTACCACTATAAACTTGCTGAGACAATAAGAATTAAGAGATGGCTTTGTCTTTATCCTATTGATAAATCTTGATAGCTTGGTTCTCAGTAATAGGATGTATGTCATAGCTTGGATAAAGAGTAGTACCAGTAAAGTGACCCCACTTATCTTTGGCTGCTACAGCTATTTCAAAGCAAGTAGCAAAGATAGGCTAATTTACTCCATTTGTCTCAAGCCACAGCATAGAGGCAGAAAGACTGGTAGAATTGGTTGATACACTTGTAATGGTAGACACTTGCATAAAGAGCAATAAGATATGAAATAGTATTGATCACTTCAAGTTCAGTTAAGAGCAGAGCCCATAATCTAAAAGAATTTCAGTACAAGGATAACTAGATATGATTGAGGTAAGCTCAGCTGTCACAGTTAACAGATGAGGAGAGCAATCAACAGTTATTCATACATAAACAGCTGCTGAGACAAGAAGCACAGATACAAATATAAGAAAGATCATAAAATGAAAAGACTATAGTTAGATGTCACAAGCATCACAGCCATGCATTTATCCATGCATCACTCAGCATTTCAATATCATTGTGCACTTATCCCATTTTCATTATAGCTTATTCATAAAATTAACAGATGTGATGTTGTTGGATGGTGTAGAGATGACAGTGGCTGATTGTTGTACTTTCTATTCTTATTCTTATTTCTGCATTTAGTGAGATCACATAGACAGTCTTTTACTTTGCTGGTTTACCTAAAATTTGGTGCAGTGTTCAAAATTCTTGCTATATATAAAGAGAGTGTTAGGCTCAAGCCACATATAATCAACTAGCATGTGATAAACTAACATGGCTTTGCATTTGAGCCTTCTGTTAGAGTCCACTTGATGTACTGTTTGTTGATTCCCTGTGCTTTAAGACTTTGTGTGATTTGCTCAAGAGTAGAATGAGGATGTATAAACTTTAGCTCAAAGCTGGGGATTACTAGTAAGAGCGAGCTCCTTAAATACTAGACAAGATTTACTAATAATACTTTCTACTTATTGTGTATCTCTCTGTCTCTGCACTCATTGTCCTGGAGCATCATTACCATACATAAGAGGCTGGTTGTATGTTGTCGAGCAACGCTGTTGTAGCAAAAGACAATGACAGACTTGGCTAGTTGTGATGACTAAGCCTTGTCCCATGGTCTTAAGCACTTGTTCTGGCACTCTGACTAAGCATAAATAGGGGTTAAACTTAGGAAAAAGGTGGAAAATCATAACATTACCTCTTCCTTAAGATCATCGTCCTGATAGCTTAATTTAGGGATAATTCATAGTCATATATGGCTTTATCAGTGTCCATAAGCTTCTTGTTTACCCACTGGTTGGATTCTGGTCTATAACCCTTCCAGCTGATCAGATAATTGACTATGGTCATCATCCCTCCCCTCTTTGCCTTGATTTTTCATAGTTTGTGATGTAAAACTTGGTCAACTTCATAATATTCTTCATTGTCAATAAGATCTGAAGGTGGTGGTCATGGTCATTCCTGGTTAGAGAATGCTGATATGATATAGAGTGTCAGCAATATCTTATTGAAGACATCATGAACCTTCCAGATTTTGGGTAGTCAGAGTTTATAGATGCTTACTCCCACTTTTGTGATTATTGTGAAGGGACCAGTGCACTTGTCTGCTAACTTGTGTTTGGATCATGGCAAGTGAAGGTTGGTGGTGTCTAACCAGACTTTGTCATTGATGGCATAATAGTAGGCCAGATGATGATGTTTGTCATACTGTATTTTTATGGTCTTTGCCACCTTCTTGAGGGCAGCCTCAGTTTCTTTATAAATTTTTGTCAGTGGCTATGAAGTTGCCAAATGTGAGAGTAGTTATTCGATATTGTTCAGTTTATGTAATGTTGGGGTAATGACTATAATTAACAAAAAATGGGGTTTTTCCCATTGCTGAATGTATCTGGTTATTGTGCTGAAAGGCAGCAAGAGCTAGCTATTTCACTCAATTATCCTGTTGATAATTTATGAAAAGGTGAAGGTACTTCTCCACCTCTTAGTTTATATGCTCTGTCTGCCTATCTGTTTGGGGATGGTATGCCATAGATGCATTGCATTTGATGGAAAGAAGGTGATACAGATCATCGAGGAATTTCAAGATGAATTGAGGTCCTCAATCAGAAATGACTATCTGTGGCATGCTGTATTTAGCATAAACTTCATCCCACAAGATCTTTGCTCATCCTTTAGAGGTTAACTCAGTGAAACAGGCAATGGGAATGATGGATTTTGAGAAACAGTCAACTATAATCAGAATTGTGTTATAGCCATTGCAATCAGAGAGGCCAGTGATCATGTTGACCAAGATGTGGGTCCAGGATGATGTTGGAACTTCATTCAGATGAAGTGGTGCTGCTTAGGCCTAAGTTGATGACTTGCTATATTGACAAACCTCACATGCCTTGATGTATATAGTAATATCACTTCCCATCTTGGACCACCAGTATTCTTGTAACACCAACTCTTTAGTTTTGGCTATACTGGAGTGACCAGCTGTGGCATGATCATGGCAGATAGTGATGATCTCACTATGCAGTCTCTGATCCTGGAGAATATAGATCTGTCTATTGTAGTGAATTAGTCCCTCTTCTTTTATCATTCCTCATTTATGATTGAGAGATGGAGCCACTTATTGATCCATTCATGGATTTCTTCCTCCATGGGCATTATCATAGCCCTGAAATGCTCAGGTCATAATAGCATTACTCCCTTGTTGTCAGTACTCTTCTGGTTGTGATTGACATGTCAGCTTAAAAGGTCAGCTTTCTTGTTCACTATGCCAGCTTTATGATAGAGGGTGTATTGGTATTAGCTGAGTTCTGTGGCCTATCTGGCTTGTCGATGATTGAGTTTTTGGGGTTGTCGGAAGTATCAGAGGTTCTGGTGATTGGTCCAGATTTCAAAAACTTCTAGGGCCTCAATGAGATAATGTTGCCACTCCTCTAGGGCCAACATGATGGCAAGGAGTTCTTTGTCATAAATCTCATAATTTCACTCAGTGATGGTGAGGGCCTTGGATAGGAATGCAATAAGATGCTATTTCTTGTCTTATTCCTGAGATAGGACAGCTCCTATGGCTCTCTCACTTGAGTCAGCCTCAACTCGGAATCTCTCTTCCTGTGTTGGTATAGCAAGGATCACATCCTCAGTGAGCCATCATTTGAGGTCATTGAATGCACCCTGTTGGGATAACCTCCAAGTCTATGGAGCATTCTCAGTTAGCTGCATCATTAGATGAATAATCTTGCTGTAGTTCTAGATGAAATATTGATAAAAGTTTGTGAATCCAAGAAATGATTGTAGCTCCTTTTTCTTCATCAGTTCTGGCCACTCTGTTACTCCTACAACCTTGATGGGGTCCATCTGAATGCTTCCTTCTGAGATAATAATCCTGAGATACTCTGTCTCGAGTACCTCAAACTTGCACTTCTCTGCTTTGAGGAATAATTTGTGCTTCCTCATAGGAGCTAATATCTGTTGTACTAGCTCCTGATGTTCTTCTCTTATCTTAGACATGATTAAAATATCATCAAAGTAAATGGTAACCTTTCTGGTAGTGATGAGATCTTTGAATATATCATTCATCATCCATTAGAAAGTTGCTGGGGAGTTAGTGAGTCTGAAAAACATGACTGTCAGCTCAAATAATCCTCAGTTCATCCTGAACACTGCTTTCCATTCATTCCCTTTCTTTATGTGGATGCTATTGTATCCTCACTGGACATTGAGTTTGATATAATATTTAGCACCTCTGTTAGGCCCAAGCATCATATGAGTAGAGACACATGATAAACAGCTGTCTCTTCACACTTCGAGAGATCAGCTGAGTCCACTTAAGTGTGTTCTTGTACTCAGTATGACTCAAGGTCAGATGTAGACTCAAGGTAGAATGGTGGTTATAAACTTTAGCTCAAAGCTGGGTTCCATGCCAGTGAGAGCAAGCTCTTAAATACTGTACATGAAGCTATTATTTACTTTATATCTTATTGTAGTATTCTCTGTCCATTGTCTTCAAGTCCTTGAGCATCGTTACCATATATAAAAGGGTTTTTGTGTGTTGCTAGTAGTTGTTGACATGTCAGAGGACAAATAGCCAGATCAGTCTTGTTGTGCTGACTAAGCCTTGTCCTATAGTCCCAAGCGCTAGACCTAGACATCTTACTAAGCATAAATAGGGGTTAAAATGAGGATGAAGGGAATAAAAGGGGTGAAATCGTAACATTACCCCCTCCTTAAGACCATTGTCCTGATGGCTTAATTTAGAGATAGTTTGTAATCATGGATCGTATCATCTGCCATCATATTTTTTTTATTTACCCATTGGTTAGATTCTGTGCCATACTCCTTCCACTTGACCAGGTAGTCCACCATTGTCATCATGCTGCCCCCTTTGGCCCTGATTTTTCATAGTTTGTGGTTTAAGATTTGGTCAATTTTATAATGTTCTTCATCATCGATCAGATTGGCAGCTGGGGGTGGTGAGTGTTTCTGATTGGGAAATGCAGGCATGATGTATAGTGAAAGCAGTGTTTCGTTGAACACATTGTGTATTTTTCATGATGGTGGTAGATGTAATTTATAGGCACTGAGGCCTATCTTAGTGATGATCAGAAATGGATTTGTCCATTTGTCAGCAAGTTTTCTTTTGGGATAGGGCAGATGTAGGTTGGTGGTGTCCAACCAGACTTTATCGTGGATGTGGTATGTATGGAAAGGGCGTCGGTGTCTGTTATATTGTTTTTTCATCAAAGTCACAGCTTTTTCGAGTGCTGCTTTTATCTCAGCATGGATTTTTGTCATAGTGTTGACAAAGTCAGTTGAAGCTGGGGTCATTGTATGTAGATGACTTGTCTGAGTGACAGGAGGGTATCAGCCATAGTTGACGAAGAAGAGTGTTTTTCCAGTCGCCAAGTGGATCCAGTTATTGTGTTGGAATGTGATGAGGGCTAACTATTTGACCCAGTCATCTTATCAATAGTTGATAAAAAGA